AGAGGTGGTGTTGTTCTTGGGAACAGGGCACTTTATTTCCAGAAGTTGTAGATGGTAAGCAGCCTTTCTCCCTCTCTTGTTGATGATGCACCATATACATCCTCAGCTTTGTGACGGCTAAATGTCATCTAATTCTTTTCTGTTCAAGGTTTCTTCTGGTTCCTGCATTCCATCGGCACTGCTCATCAGTACAAGATAGCCCTGTCATACCACCACTGGCCACTGCATTTTGCACCTTTCAAAAATCAGAACATATTGGTTACTTTATTATTGCACAGTACATCACCATTAGCACTTTTTTTTTAGAGCTAAACAATTTTGTTATATCTGAAATTTCTAATTGGTTAAATATTGCTGTAAAAATACGTCTTTACATTGAATCATGCAGTCAGTGCTTGAAGTGGGCCGGCACTTCTGACATGTTGGTACTGAGTCAAAGCGTCAGTGTCTGGGTGATTAGAAATGACACTATAAAGCACACTACCCAGGAGGTTATTTGAAACCGGTAAATTTCTGGAAAGTTCAAGGAATCAGTAAGGGAATGCATTAGTAATAAATAATAAGTTCAAAACAGCAGAAAACACTGACAATTTCATCAGAGATGTTGGAGAGAATAGTGACTCGCGTCCAGATGGCAGTAAATTATTATTTTCAGTGTGTATTTGGCTTAAAAGCACGAGTGTTTTATAATGAATGCCGGCTGAAGGTGTTTTAGATTATGCGCTGGTCAGTGGTTTAGTTATTCTGAATGGATCCGTATTGTAGCATCTACAGTCAGGTTAAGGCAGCCGGTTTAGTGGTCTTTTGGTGTCTCCCTGTGGTCCTGTTTGGTATCGCAGCTTAACTGGTGCTTATTTATATTAAAATGCTCTAAACAATTTTCATTCATTTTTCTTTCTTTCGGCATTAAATACATTTGGGGTTGGAGATGTGGGGGGAGTACCGACACTTCTTTTTTTCCACTTCAAGCACTGCATGCAGCCAAACTAGAAGTGTTGCTCCAATTATAAATACCCACCTTCCACAACACAGCAGCAGCATGGCTACAAGACCTGCCGGGGCCAGCTACGCAGGAGCATCCAGCTCTTTCCACTACGCCGTTATTTTGTAACATTATTTTGTAATGCCGTTATTTTGTAACATAACCCACACGATGTGATTTGGTTTATTTATAGCCTAACTCAGGCATCCTCCATACACGTACGCGCAAAGCATAATGGGTAATTTCGCATCCCATGAAAAAGGTCTGTAAGTACAGTCATTTGGAAGTTAAATGAATCAGCATTTTTAATTAATCAGTTGATTCAACTCACGCATTAAGACAAGTCTCTTGCTGCCACCTACTGGCAGTTGTTTCATATTTTAAAAAGTAGCTTATATTTTGCAGTCATTTACTATTTCTACATTTAAATGTTGTATTTAAACTTTTCATAATTTATGCAAAATCCATTTATCTTTGTTTGTTTGATGTTCTAGTTGAAGGCATTTGTAGTGTGTAGGGCCCAAACATAACCTCAAGCCCAGGGGCCTCCGGCCCCCTAAGTCCTGCCCTTGGCTCAGTAATGACTCTGTTAACACACAGGCCTGTAAGTACAGTCATTTGGAAGTTAAATGAATCAGCATTTTTAATTAATCAGTTGATTCAACTCACTCATTAAGACAAGTCTCTTGCTGCCACCTACTGGCAGTTGTTTCATATTTTAAAAAGTAGCTTATATTTTGCAGTCATTTACTATTTCTACATTTAAATGTTGTATTTAAACTTTTCATAATTTATGCAAAATCCATTTATGGATTTTGTTGATAGTAATTTCATTTGATTGTTAACAGCCACCTTGTCTTTTTATTCGGTTTGAATTTATTGATTAAATAAGAACCTGACATAACAGAACGCAGATATAACAACAGATATACTAATAGATCTCTGGCTTTTTTCTTTTTTTTTGTCAATGCTATTTTAGGGTTTTGATCTCTCATCTTAGAGAACACATCTTGCTTATTGTATTATAATGACTATTTAATATTACATCTAAACTTTGTTTGTTTGATGTTCTAGTTGAAGGCATTTGTAGTGTGTAGGGCCCAAACATAACCTCAAGCCCAGGGGCCTCCGGCCCCCTAAATCCTGCCCTTGGCTCAGTAATGACTCTGTTAACACACTTCAATCGGAGTCTGATCCTTAGTGCGCATGTCGCCCCCTAGTGACTGATACACATCATACAGCACACAATGCTTAAAATGCCTCTCAAAAAGACATCACTGGGGTGATTCATCTGACAGAATCTAGACGAGCCAAGAGTGCTGAGGATAAGTGAACAAATCTCTCATTTTATGAAAGAAATGAAATAAGTCGAATATGGCTTATTATCCCTTTAGCATAGAAATTAACATGGGGAAAGAGTCCAATGGAAGAGGACATATAAAAACGATGGCTGTAATTATACATCCGCTGATAATCCCTATCCTCTATCGCTTACATATGCCATTCACAGCTCGTCTCGCAACAATATCTCTGTGGGGGCACCGATATTGCTGACAGATGCAGGGCTTCCAGACTGTTAATGACTTAATGAAGCGAATAAGGCAAGGTCCCTGTGCCCCCTCAGCTGCAGTAATGAGCAAAGTTTAAACATAGATTAGTCCTCCTCTGGGCCCTGGATAAAACTCACAATCATTCTCCGAGTAACAAGAGACATCTGTGATATGCTGACAGATTAGATCAGATCCCGTCTCAGTTCTGAGCTCAATATTAAAGCAGTGTCAAACTCAAGAACAGCTTTATTAATGGATAAAAATGCCTGTGAGAATTTCAAAGTTCAGATCAAAAGCTGTTAAAGCTGCATTTAGCCATTTAAAGATGACATCGCGTTTGATGAAACATACAAAGCTTTTGGAAGTAGATAAAAAAATAATATTAAATAATAGTCAGGTAGATAAACTAAAATCTGCATCTGCTAAATCACATATTACTGAAGATGGTGAGATGTTGGGCCAAAGCAACGGTACAAAAGTTTGATCTATAAGAAAAAATATTTATAGGGTAAGATACCTCCTTAAGAACAATGTGCATTTATTTTTAAATTGTAATTTAGAAGTTTATCTTGTGCAGGCTGATGATGCATCAACCAATGTGTTATTAAAGGAAATAAATATAATCACTTGCTAATTTAGTTATAGCACTGACAGTAGTAGTTTACTGCTGGGGTAAATGGGCCCCCTACCTGGGGCAAGAAGCCCCCTGGCTAAATTTGACAGAATTATTATTTTCATGTTTTATGGTTGTAAAATTCTAAATCAAAATTGTGTTTTGACCGTTTATTTGAATAATCTTCTGTGCTAATTTTGGAGGAGCCATCTTTAACCCAAGGGTCTAATTTTATCTTTTCACTGAGAGAAAAAAAACAAATTTTAACTCCACAAATCAAAACATTTACATGTCCACAAATCCCTTGTTAACAAATAGACACCAAAATATTATCTATGTTATTATATTCACCATAATACAATGCAATACATCACTATTTCCAGAGAGACAAAATTAGATCCGTTAACCTCAAAACTGTTTAACTGTGAATAAATCTCACAAATGTTGATATTCAGATGAAATGACAAAAATAAAAATAGCATAGCCATTCATCAAAAGTGTTGAGATGAGATTTTGTATCATCTATAATCAAGAGAAACATCATAACCTATATATATTTTATATATGTAGGGGACATTTTTTTAATACACAAACATATACTACCAGCAAATGGATTTTACTCTCCTCAGGGTATATACAGGAATCATGGAGTTAAATTTAATACCTTTTAAGACCTTTTTTAAGACTCTTTCCATACATTTTAAGACCTCATCACCCCTCCAAGTTTTAACCGGTTACATCGGCGACAATTTAATTTACTTTTACTATATATTGATTGTAAGATAGCACAACTAAACCGCGTTACTTTGTGAACCCCCATATTGATAGTGGCGGCCTGATGCGTGAAAATTATACAATATTAGAATGTTTGCGGGAGCAGACACAAAAATCGCGGGAGCATGCGGTAATGGTCAGAAATTCAGCGAGAGCGCGATCAACAAGCCCCGCGCTATCACGCAGCGGCACAGTCAGTCAGTGAGGGCCGTAACAGATGACGTCAAATCTTGCGGGATTCCATAAATAAACTACACAAAACCCCACTATTCTGACAAATATACATAATGAAAAGATAATACAAAATGCAATACCTTGGAAAATGGCGTTTAAGACTTTTACAAACTTTTTAAGGGCCTTAATTTTCTCTAAATTGATTTATCAACTTTTAATACTTTTTAAGACCCCGCAGACACCCTGTCTCCTCCACCTCAAATGATAAGTTATGCAGAAAGGACAAGAGATTTAATATTTAATCAATTAATTATTCAACAAGGTATGCCAGGGAAGACTGAATAAGTAATTGCACCTTCATGACTTTATAATCACTCACAGTGAATAAACCTAATCTAGACATCAATAATACACAGAGTGACATGCTGTTGAGACAGTGAGACCAAGACAGTGCAGAGCAATTCATGAGATATAAATATTAATCAAGGCAGGTAAAAATGTAAATTAAAAGATGGCGGTGAAAGACAAAGAAACAGGCAGGGACTTCCAGTTATAATCAATGAAATGATCAAATAATGTCAACTACTCAAGAAATTTTGCAGTAAGACATGGAAAAGCTTTTAAACAGCGCGAACAAACCCCATCATGCCAGCCACTCTGCTTGTGCATCAAAAATGACTAATTACGCCATACGAGTCCTTTGAGGGGGAATCCAGCTGGCAAACTGTAGCCTTAATGGCTGATTTAAATTCACAAGGAAATCTTGCCAAAAAAAAAAAAGGATTCGGCATTAAATTAACATTGATCAGTACAGACATGTTCCTTCAACCCATCTAATACTAGCTACAAACGCATGTGGCATTTGTCAGCAAGACTCAATAAGTGAACACATTATTTATGGGTCTTATCGGGTATTTATTTTTTCAATTTATGCATGAGACTTATGCAAGTGATTTATGTACATATTTACAAAGGTGTACACAAAACCTGAACAAAAGTAGTCTTTGGGTAGCAGGTGTTGCTTGTTTATTAGTGTGTATGGTTATAATATGTATTAATATGAGACATGCTCTACAATTACACTCTGTATATAAAGTGACCGTGTGATCAATGTAATCCGTTATATTCCCCCACAGGTAACTCCCCGAGCAGCTCATCAAGGTCATCTTAAAAGAAACATTCACAGACACAGATTAATACTCAAATGCATACACTCACTTCACGATTCAAAAACACCAAAGCATCTTAAAATTATGTTACTTATTTTTTTCCCCATCTAAATTCAAACAGACAGTACAACTGAGTACAGCATACCACCCGCTGTTTGGAAGACAAATCATTATTTGTTGAAATTTAAGAGTGTCTAGTGAATTGTGTGATAAAAGCCATTAGGATAATTGCATTATTCTTATCTGAAAATCTCATATCGTATGTTCAAATAAAGCACAATGTGAACAATTCATGAATGAAAAAGAATCCAGCTTAGGGGTGTGCGATAAGCAAACATTTATCACAAATCACGATACGCTCAATTTTGGCGGATATATAGATCAGCTCATTCTAGGCCTAACAAGAGCTTTAGAGTCACTAAGGTTATATATTCTACAGTAAACCCATAGTCTGGTTTTGTAAGGATGCTGATGTAGATTCAAAAGCTTTCTTATTACTGATGTGCGAGTCCTCTTGTTTTCTTCCTCAGTGCTTTTTAGAATGTCAAGGCAGTTGAATATTGTTTAAATTAACTTACATATAGTGTCATTTCGGGGTCAGAGAAGAGTAACAAAATTTTGTGCCAAATTCAATTGGGTCTGGCAAAATTATGGCTTTGCTTGTCTATGTTTGTGCTGTTCCAGACCAAAATATACGAGCGTGGAAGTTGTCCCAAAAACATGATTATCCAACTATTGTCTCAAGTTCCAGAGTTACCAACATAGTTCAACGATTCTGTGTTTCCCGAAACCACAGTTCCAATCAACATTCGCAAACAGCATTGCAAATTTGTGTTTGAAACTACATATCTCAATCTGTGGTCACATAAGCATAGTAAACAAACTATAATAATCAGACATTAATTGAATTCTCAAAGCTATTAATTACCAGAGATTACTCCACCACCTGTACGTGATGTCATTTACAACTAGGGCTGGGTATCGAGTTCGATACTTTTTAGGCACTGACCGAATTGCCTCGATACTATCGAGTATCGAAAAACGTCTCGTCGCTCGGTACCAAATTTCAATACCTAAGGGGTGAATCTCATCAAGGTCAGTGAGGCGCAGATCGATCAGTGTTTGACATCCGCGAGAGCGATGCGAAAACGTACGTAGGAGTCTGCTCGTGGTATCTTACTATAGGTCTGCACAGTCGGTCCGCAACTGTGACACTCAGAGATGTGGCTCACACATGAGGATTTAGTGTGAATGCGTCCCAGCCCCCGTAGCTGTAAGGCTACATTTACACTGGTGTGCTTTTGTTTTAAAATGAAAACGATCCTCGTCATACTGACGTTTCCACTGCGTTTCAAGCTGGCTTTCCACCATCTCCGACAAATGACAGACCGAAAGTCATTCATTTCCAGTGGAGAGTAGCGCCGGAGCTGTGTAGAGTTCCAATCATATCCAGATGTCCGTTCGTACTACAAGACCGAAAGCACGTGTTATGTGACCATTCATGCACACTGTAGCATCATGCTACATAAGACCAGGGTTTAAATTGGGCCGGGGGCCGTCTGGGGCTGAGCCTATAGTTCTATAAACAGTTCAATAAGCAAATACAATAATATTAGGTAACTTACATTTTAGGAAGAAACAGCGCATCTCACAGCAACCAGACGATTTCATTGCTGATTGATTTCCGTGTTTTGAACGAATCGGTTGAGTCAAAGTTTCATTAGCCCATGCATAAACATCTGATGAATCTGCCGTTTGAACGAATCGTTTGAATGAATGACTCAATGAATCACTCATTAAACGCTCACCACTGGCACCTACTGGCGTTTTAATTTAGTTGAAAAGTATCATTTCCACCATAATTTCTTGTTTGAATATTAAAAAATATTTAAAATAATCTCATAATAATTATTTAATGCAGTTGTATTTTTCAGTGTCAATTGAATTTATAGATCAAATGTAAGAATTTGAAATGAAAGTATTAATGAGATTAGTGGGAATAGAATAAATAATTTGCACAAAAAACAAAACACACATATATATAATATATATATATATATACACACACATACATATATACACATACATATATAAGCTCGATACCATAGAGCCCCCTCCCCTCACACACACACACACACACATAACAAATCTCAATTTAACCCCTGCATAAGACAATAAATAAGATTTATATTCCGCTTTTACTCAAAACTCACTTTAAACCACCATCAAGTTTTTGTAATAACTTCCGATTGCCGTGTGTTTTGGCCATGTATTGTTGATGAAATGAAATATATTATAACCTCTGAGTCAGAGCAGCGATCATGGAAGAGAGAGCACAGGCAGACAGTGCTAGAAACTGCTAATACTTATCAGTAAATCAATAGAAAATGAATAGAAATGACGATTCTGTCTGAGCTAGGTGATTCTGTCACACGCACTAGTGTAAATGTAGCTAACAGATGTGTAAACTGAAGACTATTTGAGCTTTATTAAAACTATTTGCACTGATTTTTTGTTTGTTATATTTTGTTCCTTTGTGCAGTGGCTTTGAATCTGTATAAACATCAACAAGCTGAAAAATAAAACCAAAGGTTTTTTTTAGATAATGTAATCTTGTTCAAATAGATTTCATAAAATTGGTATCGAAAAAAGTATCGTTCAGAAACCGGTATCGAAGTCAAGGTATCAGTATCGAAAATTTTTGAACGATACCCAGCCCTATTTACAACAGTCCAATATTGTTAAACCAACATGGTTCAAATGATGGAGGAACAACCATGTGACTAGCTAGTTATTTTTTCCCCAATTATGAATCATTCTATGATGGTTAAGTAGCGAATTTTATTGTTGTATGGGAAACAAATCACAGAGCAGATTTTGTTTGGCAGCGGAAAATATGAAGCAGAGTGTTTACAGAACACTTAGTGTGTTTACACTTGGCAGGTTTGGTTTAATTAAAACTCGCTCTGATGTGGTTCGTTTGAGTAAGTGTAAATGCTGCCATCAGAACTTGCACACTAAACAATCAGACCAAGACCAATCTTTTCAGGGGGGTGTCGGTCCACTTTCAAATGAACTCTGGTGCGAGTCGAATGATATATGAACAGAAAACTAACCAAAAATATCTTGTGATGTCACAAGATGTGAGCCAAAAAAGACAGAATGCTCAAGCATAACCGGTCTCGTCTTCCCGTCTTATAGAAGTTATGCTGCCCATTACAGTTACAGGCGTCAGAGCCGCAGTCTCCTTGCAGCAGATCTCCATGTGCAATGGAGGAATTCCTGCTACTGTTTTGACTCCTTTGCACATTTTATAAGCTCTTTGTAAGTTATCAGCCAGTAAAAATACCACCACATATGTACACATACAAAGAGTGTATTTAGCCCAGCACAAAGCAGTTTCGTTTTCAAAATATATGCCATAAACACTGTCCAATTAGGTTGTGCCCGTATCTATATGCCTTTTATTTTGTATCTTTAGGTTTGGTGTTAAAAATGACAGGGAGAATGCTAAGCGAACCAGGACTAAATGCGATTTTTTTTTTAACCGGACCAAAAGAGCCAAACTCCAAGTGTAAACACTAGGGCTGGGTTTTGACACAAATTTCACGATTCGATTCACATTCACAAGCTTGCGATTCGATTCAATATAGATTATTTTGGATATATATCAGGTACAGCACAAGCCACATTTTCTCAAGAGAAAAACTAATGCTGTAAAATATACATGAGAGTCAGTCGGTACTACATTACTATAATATTGAAGGTTAAAATTGACTGATTTGTTAAAATTACACTTAATGACGTTTTTAAAATAATAAAGTTACAATGACATAATATTTCTACTTCAATTCGTTTTTTTAAATATAAACAATGGTGGCTGTCATAAAAACTTGGATATATTCAAACATAAAACATTGAAGAACAGTCAAATTTATAATGAATGTTATTTGATGCATATATAGCAAAATGCTCCTATCTACTGTTTATTTTTCTATCTGACTAATGAGTTTATGGTCAACGAATATGTGTTTCTGAGGTAAATGCTACGTTATGTGACATTGTTTACAAAACGTTATATTGACGTCTTTACGCGGCTGAAACACTAACTGAGCGATTACTTGAGACAGGATACGGATTGTAAAGTTGTACTCTTTCTTTTAACTTACCTTCGGATGTTTAATCATGAATATTTTGTGCTGAAACTGGTATTAATGTGGAAGAGACGATCCGTTCACGTGGGCCTCGCCTGTTGAACTGAGGCGCTACAGTGATCTGTCACTCCACATTAAACCAAAACGCCATTTATTGTTTGAATACTGCAATTTGCAATACTGCAACAGAATTTGAAATCTGAGACTTTGCGTCATATTAAAAGTACCAAAGCACAATGCTTATTGCGATATATTGAATGGGAAGTACCCTTCAATGTTCCGTCCATTAACTGAAAACAGGCTAGAGTAGACTAATCGATTCTTGGGATTGAAGAATCAATATCGTTCCATAAAAATGAGAATCGATTAATATCGAGATTTTTTTTACCCAGCCCTAGTAAACACACCCTTAAAGCAGGAAAAAGTAATCGGTCACTCCACTCCACTCACATACTCAATAACACACCAGCTTTCAGTAAGTACATTGCTCTGAGATTAAAACGGCACTCTTGCTTCAAGTTGCTTGTGTGATATTGCTCAATTGATGATACTCCAACATACACACCTGTGTCCCATGCTGTGTCTCCTGTTGGTCTGGACACTGTAGGTGCTTGACAGACTGAGAGACCGGGCCCCCTGCAGGCCTTGTGGGTTCACTATGCAATGCAAGCTCCTGCACGTACGTACATGCAACAACCGGGGTGAAATGAACACAAAACAAATAATAAAGACACCACAAATTGTTTAATTAAGCAATATTTTGGAAAGCGATCATCTCCTGAAGACAGGTAATTCACCAACAAACAAGCAAAATGTTGGAGACCACAATATCAGGCTCATTAAACACCTGAAGAAAGGCTCTTGAAAATACAAAATACAGAAAAGTAATAATACCCTTGAGAACAGAACAAGGTGACTCACTAGTGGAGGGTGGGATTGCTGGGAGTTATGGTAGACCCCATCCGGTGGGTATATCCTGAGAAGGTTATTGGGTGTGACGTTCAGGTAGTGATTTCGGTGTGACGGTGAAAATACACCAACCTTTAAAAAATAATGAGAATTGTGTGTAGAGGACCACAGTAGAGGACTGGAAATGATAGAGAAGAGTGAAGAACTGAAAGAGTGAAGAAAGAACTTGTATTGCCCACAGCTCTGCATGTGCTATCTGTTAAGCCATGGCTCAGAGTAATAATAATAATGAGTAAATTAAAACAACTTCTGGTGTAATCTAAAGTTCATATTATTTCCTGTGATAGTCTATAATGAGGTCTGAAATATAGTAACTTGTTTGAGTAGTAACACAGCTCCTGTCTTGAGCTCTCCCAGTCTTTTCTCTACCAGGCGACGATGAACCGTACCCTGCATCTCACCTTCAGAGTGCAAAAGAAAAAAACAGAAAGAGAGAAGTAAAAAAAAAAGACTTCTGGAAATAAGAGTGCAATCAGACCAAGAACACCAGCTCAGTCAGTGACCCCCTGATTTCAGTCACTGTGATTGTGTGTGTGTGAGAGAGAGAGAAGAGGATAAGGTCACCCATATCATCATGGAGAAAGTAAGCTGTGTTTTATTGTTTATATATACACATACCAAGTCAAACTTTGGACACAATCTTTCTTACTGAATTAGTTTGTAATTATATTAAACATGTTTTAAATACTTAAGCAACTTAAGACATTTCAGTTTTGAATTATATTTATATGTATTTTATTAGTATTATTATTATAGAAAGCTGCAACAAGTACACAGTATACAATACTAAATGAGTTGTTTAAAATGCGCCCCAGCCTCATGAAGTTGGATGAGGGGGGGCTAAAATATAGTTTTCATTTGTTTAGTCACTAGATACTTTCAGCTAATAATGTTTGCCTGGTGGTGTACATTATATCCTAATTATTAGTACCTGTGGGATCTCTGAAGACGGCCTTCGCATCTGCTTGAGTGTGTGTGATACTCTTCAAGACCTTATTCTTAGCTAGCTGCCTGAGAGCAGCCTGGTGTGTGTGAGAAAGTTGTAAGTCACAAATAAGCACCAAAGAAAAACAAGAGAATAAAAGAAAAAGCATAAGTTGCAGCACAGCCTCAAGGCCATTGGTAATAAATCAAGTGAAAAGCTATTCAGCATTTGTCAGCCTAATGAATATTTAACACACATGTACTATTAGCAGAGGATCGTTATGACACACTGGGCAAAACACATTAAAATTACATTAATAATCACTTTAAGGTGACTGATGACAACAGTGATTATGTTTGTGTTAATCATTTAGGGAGCTGAGATTCCTCATTTGTCCTGATTATAGCCATGGACTTCCACTTTAGGCATAAATAAAAGTAATACAAATATTTACTGAACAAATCCAGATAAAAACTAAGAAATCTGCAGACGAACAAAGTTCGATCCTTAACTATATTGATAACACGACCACTCAAATAAGCTCATTTAAATACACAGTGTGCTGTGAGATTTCTGTAGCTCACCTTGCAGAGTACCATGACAACACTGTAAGAGTACAGAAAGCAAGAAGGGTTCTTCTCATCCAATCCCATCTCAGTCTTCATCACTGCCCATGGACCCCTGCTGAACTCCTCTTCCTCACTCACCTGAGAGCTGGAAACCTGCTGTGAAAAATGAACACCGTGTCTGATGAGTGCAAGTTTGTGAGTATGTGTGAGAGAAAGTGGACCTGTGAGCAATTCCACATAACTGTGGAATAGTGTAAAAAAAAAAAAGAAAGAAAGAGAGAGAGAAAGAGAAATGGTAATAAAAAGAAAAAAGGAGGAATTCACAATATCTTGGCACCATATCATATTTTTTCCCTATCGGTATCAACTAAGATTGGATATTTAATTGTTGATGCAATTTTTACATGTGTGTGCCATCATTTAACAGCATTTAATTTAGCATTTAAAATAACTGATTTTATTTATTTATTAATCAGCCAGAATTGGTGCAAACATTATTTACTTTTAAGTAATGTTTGTTTATATCAATTTATGTCTCCTTACACTGGGAATGTCTTTTCAGTACTACTTATACTATTATTTATTTAAATTTTGAATTGACTTTTAGATTTTTATACATCGTTTTCATTTTAGCTTAAGTTTTAGTAAATCTGTTACATGCTTCTGTCATTATTTGTTTTACTATTATAGCTTTAGAAAGTTATTTTTATTTCACTTATAGTTATAGTAATTTAAATAGAACTTCAAAACCACTGAGAGTTCGTTCAGTTGGTTTCTGATTTTTGTTAGTTTTTTTTAAATTGGGTTTGTAATATTTATAATATTTTAGATTTATTTCAACCAAAAAAAAGATTTTTAGTTTTAGCTAACAATAACAATGCTGGAATAAACAGCACAATAAAATGTGCCCCTACAAGTCTCAAGTCTATCGACAGTAGTTTAATCTGGAATGTGGAAGATCCCATATTTACATACATTACTTCTCAGCCGAGCAACAGCTCCATGTGCAGGCGTCTGAGGAACTGACACAACAATGTCAACAAGACTCCGTCCACTGACCTACAAGACAACAAACAGAAATTAAACCATTGAAATGAAAATAAATCAGAAATTCTATATGTCAGTCATGAGAAACCAATGGAAATTTCCAGACTGCAGGGTACAGAACAATAATAAACATCGGTTTTAAAGAGAAATAGCCTTGCAGTACACTAAATAACAGTTCTGAGCAGTACATATTGTTTGACATTAAGAATAATCAGCTAAAATAGTGCTTAGCTGACCTGTATTGGTAGTGCTCCTGCCGGGCCAGCAAAACGACGTGCTTTGGCTGGCATCATGCAACTCTGTGGTCTCTGAGGTGTCTTATTGGCTGCAGACACCAGCTGGACCAGGTGATTGGTCAGGACAGGCGTGTTGAGAGGACGAGGTGTAAATGTGGAAGAGGAATCAGTAGTGGAAGACACAGAGTGGAAAAGAGACCCTCGGGGCTGCAGCGGGGTCCTTGGTGTCGAAGCTCCCCTCTGGCACTGAGGCGACACAACTGGAGGCTTGGGAGTCACAGGTCTGGGGAATCGCAAGACTGGTGTTGCGGGGCCACGCATGTGATTTGCATTCTGCATAGGGGTAGATGGTCACGTGGAGCCTTGGATGGTGGACGCGAATGAGGTGTTGACTAAGGGCCGTGTAATTGACACTGAGAAGGTAGCACCAAACCTGCCATGATAGGGCACTTCTGGTGCTGACGGCCTCATCCGTTTAGTGGGTGAAACGTTGTCCAGTGGTGCAGCTGGATTATTTTGTGGCTCAGAAACCATCGGAGGAATGCTATCCAGTTCCTCCAGATCCACATCCCAGTTGTCAAAGTCACCCTGTGGAGGGAGGTTTCTCTGCAGGACACTGAGAGATGCTTGGGGTGGAGGGTTTATTAGGTTAGAGGAAGGTTGCAGGGATGGCGCGGGCGCTCGGAGAGAAGAGACGGAGGCAGAGATTGACTGACGGCAAGGCATGGAGAGATCTGGTAGGGCATTGATAGTGCCACATGCTGGGGGAGTCAGAACAGAACCAGATTCAGATGGATTTTCCCTAGGGCCTGATGACAAGCTAACGGAGCTCTGCTGTACATGTAAGGATTCAGATGATGGTGCTACAAAAGGAGTGGAAGAAGATGTGTGCTCTGTTGGACGCGTCCAATCAGCTTCAAGCAAATCCTACAGATGAAAAATTATGGATGACAAGATAACCAAGCAAATACGTGTCGTTGTCATTTGTAAATAAAACTCCTAAAAGGCAGAATATATCGAAATACAAATTATAGTCTGTCATATTATTACCAAGCACATAAGATGTACAGTTAACGTGGAGGTGGCATTACTCAATTGTACTAACACCCTTTAAAATGCATTTCAAAACTAAAAGTAAATTCCATACCTCAACATCAAACTCCTCTCCAACGGTAAACAAGCCCTTCCATTTATTACAAGCCTGTATCAACAAACAACGAATATCATCATCAACAATCAGTTTAGTTTACAAATTAGCTAGCTGTTTGCACATAGCTTAACGTCATGCCTGTTCTGATAATCATAAGAGCAGATATATAACGCGCCAAACATGGAGTATTAATGTAAGCAACTATCCGTTGAAAGTTTTGTTCTCATTAGATACGCAGACATTGAAAAACACCGAATATACAGTGTATAATCTAAGATTTCGCGCCGCCAGGTTCAAACACGACCGTATGCAGCACCATCTGCTGGAGGAGTCCAGCACTGCTATTGATGAGGCCAACACCTCGGTGTAGAAGTAGCATAATGAGGGAAACATTCATGTCCAATACTTCCCCCATTCAGATTTAGCCGAGATTATTGGCAATGGCGAATAAGATGTTACTTTAACTTACACTCTGTGCTAATAGCACCGAAGACTAAGCAAATGGCATCTATTTTCTACTTCATTGAGTTCAAATAGGATCTGGTTTTTATTACAGCAACTACCGCGAAATATTAATGGACTTCACCACCTACAATCAGATGTAGAGTACTCATTAAATGGGAGGATATGCATAGACATTTCTAAATGTGTAGGCAAGTCTCTCGGTAGTGATGGATAGTGACAGGGAAGCATAAAATAAAAACTCACCTGGCTGTAAAAGTTAAATCATTCATTAACATTAAATGAATTAATGATCAGCCTACAAAACCAATGTTGAGTTCATCATAACCTACATAAACAAACATCAGTCACACTAATACATACAAATTTATTGGTGACCACTATAAAACTACATTTAAAGGAAAAAGGTGAAAAAAAAAAAAGACAAGCACAGCACTAAAATTACTTGGCTGAAAAAAAAAGCATGTTGAGGGGCATATAAGAGCAGGATGCTTTTGCAAAGTGACTTGGAGACTAAATCAACAGTAAAAACAAACCGATTTAAAGAACAGATTTATTTTATTTTATTTTCCACAAACAATACAGAGGTGCCATATTGTTAAAACAGTTCTAGAACTTCTGGAACTGCTTCTTGGCTCCAGCTGCCTTGGTGACCTTCAGGACGTTGAACCTCACCGTCTTGCTGAGGGGTCGGCATTCGCCAACTGTAACGATGTCACCTAAAGTCACGTCCCTAAACAAACGGAGAACACTGATAAATAAGAAACTTTCAGCAATTAGACCTTATACAAATATCTCACAAACTAAACTACTTATAAACCTTGAATGCAAAGAAACCCTTTAGGTCAGGGGTCACCAAACTGTCCCGGAGGGCCGGTTTCCTGCAGAGTTTAGCCCAAACTTGCCTCAACACTCCTGCCTGGAAGTTTCAAGTATACCTAGTAAGACCTTGATTAGCTGGTTCAGGTGTGTTTGGTTAGAGTTGGAGCTAAACTCTGCAGGACACTGGCCCTCCAGGACTGCGTTTGGTGACCCCTGATTTAATGTCACAGGATAGAAGGAAAAAATAAATTATTCTTATTTATTTATTATTAAGTATTACATGGGAACAATGGTGCTTGATGTATGTGTTTGTGTTTTCAGAGCAGTCATCCTAACGGACACAAGACTCTATAATGCCAAAGGCAAAACTGTCTTTTCAGTGAAAATCACCTCATTTGCATGAACCTGTCAACGGAGTTTAGAAAAATAAAAAAAGCTACTCTTCTCAAAACCTTTCTAAATGAATATAAGGAAATAAAAAATTAGTTTAATCTCAATAAATTTGTCCAAGACCAAAATGCTCTCCACATTAATTTTATTAAGATAAGTGTATAATTTCTGTGCCACTATTGTCACCAAACCGAATTTCAAAAATGATTTCCAACAGATATTTAAACACTCCCTCCATCTGCCATTGGTGTGACAAACATATAGTCCCTGCCCAAAACCAGTGTTAAACCAGTGTTGCCATGTCAGGCTGCTCAAACAAACAAAGTAATGTTTTGATGTGCCACATTGACTACGCTTTTCAAGGGAATAAATCTACTAATGGCCGCCTTAAAGATGTTTTTGCATATTAGCTTGGAAATGATAGTGTTTCAACATTGAAAAAAATTACCCAACTTTAAATGAAGACTAAGCAAATGGCATCTATTTTCTACTTCATTGAGTTCAAATAGGATCTGGTTTTTATTACAGCAACTACCGCGAAATATTAATGGACTTCACCACCTACAATCAGATGTAGAGTACTCATTAAATGGGAGGATATGCATAGACATTTCTAAATGTGTAGGCAAGTCTCTCGGTAGTGATGGATAGTGACAGGGAAGCATAAAATAAAAACTCACCTGGCTGTAAAAGTTAAATCATTCATTAACATTAAATGAATTAATGATCAGCCTACAAAACCAATGTTGAGTTCATCATAACCTACATAAACATCAGTCACACTAATACATACAAATTTATTGGTGACCACTATAAAACTACATTTAAAGGAAAAAGGTGAAAAAAAAAAAAGACAAGCACAGCACTAAAATTACTTGGCTGAAAAAAAAAAGCATGTTGAGGGGCATATAAGAGCAGGATGCTTTTGCAAAGTGACTTGGAGACTAAATCAACAGTAAAAACAAACCGATTTAAAGAACAGATTTATTTTATTTTATTTTCCACAAACAATACAGAGGTGCCATATTGTTAAAACAGTTCTAGAACTTCTGGAACTGCTTCTTGGCTCCAGCTGCCTTGGTGACCTTCAGGACGTTGAACCTCACCGTCTTGCTGAGGGGTCGGCATTCGCCAACTGTAACGATGTCACCTAAAGTCACGTCCCTAAACAAACGGAGAACACTGATAAATAAGAAACTTTCAGCAATTAGACCTTATACAAATATCTCACAAACTAAACTACTTATAAACCTTGAATGCAAAGAAACCCTTTAGGTCAGGGGTCACCAAACTGTCCCGGAGGGCCGGTGTCCTGCAGAGTTTAGCTCAAACTTGCCTCAACACACCTGCCTGGAAGTTTCAAGTATACCTAGGACGACCTTGATTAGCTGGTTCCGGTGTGTTTGATTAGGGTTGGAGCTAAACTCTGCAGGACACCGGCCCACCAGGACAGAGTTTGGAGACCCCTGTTTTAGGTATTATCTGCTGCATCAGTGATGCCGTAAGGCAGTGTCGTCAGAGCCTGAGAGACTTGGAAGACCATCGTGAGAAAAAACATCATTTGCAGCTCACCACCTATTTAGAGCATGTGTTCAAATGCACAAAAAGGGTATACAACAATATTTCAGCCCCTAAAGAAAGCTCCAATGGAGAAACTTTACCTGAAGCATGGGGAGAGGTGGACAGACATGTTCTTATGTCTCTTCTCAAAACGGTTGTACTTGCGGATGTAATGCAAGTAGTCCCGCCTGATGACGATGGTCCTCTGCATCTTCATCTTGGTTACCACACCTGGAAAAAGGTGACAGCAGTTCACATATGTTGTATATCAATGGCCAGCATACAGAATCTTTGATTATCCAAAAAGGACTAAGACACACAAAAATGAGACACCGGGAAGCATCAGTTAAGCCATTAGGCATTATCCTCAAAACCCAAAGGGTTCGGAAGACCATCGTGAGATAAGACATCATCTGCACCCTAAATAAAGCTACAATTAGCCAGCAAAGTACACAGACTTACCAGACAGAATCCGGCCTCTGATGGACACGTTTCCTGTGAAAGGGCATTTCTTATCAATATAAGTGCCTGCAATAGCCTGGGGAAATAAAGCACAAGAGCTTTAATCATCTGAACTCAACTTGAAGTTACACAGTAAGCATATACAACTGCATCAGCATTGCCAAAAGGCAGTATCCTCAGAGCTCTCTTGGAGTCTAGGAAGACCATCGTGAGAAAAGACATCACCTGCGATGAAAAGTTTTGTTAGCACGCAAACACAAGCTCACCTCTCTGGGGGTTTTGAAGCCCAAGCCAACGTTTCTGTGATAACGCGGGAGCTTCTCTTTGCCACTTCCTTCAACAGCCAGAACCCGCTTCTTGTTCTGGAAGATGGTGGGCTGCTTCTGATAAGCCCTCTTAAGTCTGACATATGAAATATTAGTCAAATAAATAGAACAGTTTATTGACCGTTGTCTTGTGAAAAGGGTCCATTCCATACTGAACTCACACTCGAAGAGGAAAAACACCTTAATTGCTTTAAAGGGGTCATATGATGTTTTTTTTAAAGATCATTATTTGGTGTAAAGTTACTGAAACCACGGCTTCTTTCTTTGCGTGAACATTTGGGCGCATTATGCAAATATTTCCACATAGTGAGGTAGATATGTGGGGGCGTGTTAGAACGAGCCGTTTTAGGGGGGCGTGGCAGAGTCTTAACTTTGATAAAGAATATCTCTTTGGTTTTGAGACTTCAGTCTTTGCAACTTCAGGGATCTTATCTATGCACAATCAGCTTGTAACACTCCAAAGAGAAAGGAAAACTTGAAATCGCATCATATGACCCCTTTAAGATATGCAATTTGGTGCAGAGGCTGTTATTTATATGGCCAAAAGTACATTGAAATTATCATGAGATTTTTTTTATAACATGTCTAGAACGTTTCCTCTAAATCCCTGTTGTTATTATGAATATTATTTGAACGGTGCTGCATCAGACTGGTGCGTGACTTCCTTCCTGCCCAAACGTGACGTCACAAAGCGGAAGAGTTCTCACTTATTTTTATGCTAATATGGCAGCGCCGTCGGGCGGAGGCGATACGGGTAAGTGCCGCTTTCCTCTTCAAATGATGATTTTCGCCTGTTATTCCGATTCGTAACTCAAATGGCCAGCAGAGTATCTAGACTGATGCTTTAATGTGTATTAGAATACTATATACCACGTGAACTGGGAGTTTGCTCAGTGCCGTTCACTGTCACATCACCGCTGTCTGTCTGAAACGTTACACATACCGATCACCGGACGATGCGGAGAGCCACTGATCATTGACGACAATGACACGAGCTAAACAAACAGTCTTCTTTGGCTGGATCCCAAAGTGAGCCGTCTACACAAACAACATTTTTGGGCATCGTTCGCGTTCCAAAATAATTTTTTGAGCGTCATGGGCGCGAGCCAAATGGGCGATTTTTTTTTTCAGACCGCGCCGATGATTCCCAAAGATGCTGTCTTGGTAGGCAGCACCCTATTTTTGAGACACAGCCTCTGTGCGGTTGTGTTGGCGGTGCTCGCTGGTTTCCAGAAGAGGTGACCTCATCGTTTCAGTGCTGATCTGTTAGGAGGGGGGAGTAAACACTCATCACAGATGGGTTGCTCTCGGGTTAAAGGTATAGTTCGCACACACAAAACCAATAAAAGCGTCACCTTTGTCGCTTAATTATATGTTGTCCCAAATCTGTACTACTGTCTCCATTCTGTGGGGCATTAAAAGAGATGTTAGGCAGTGTAACAGCCTCAATCACTATTCACTTTCATTGCATCATCTTCCATATAATGAACGTGAATGCAAAAGCATCGCATACAGGTTTGAACCAACATGAGGGAGAGTGGATGATGACAGGGTTGTCATTTTTGGATGAACTATCCATTTAAAATCCTGCTGCTGTATTAATAAAATAGGTCCTCCGTTTGTGGCATGGGGTCAAATTGACCCCAAATTATAATATTTATATATTAAGTGTGGGTGATATGATCAAAATCGTATTTCATAATGTGAGAAATTGTATTTCACGAATATAATACATGCATATGTTGTAACATTTATGTTGTAATTTTAAATGCTAGTGAAATATCACAAGTATTGCTACAGGCAATTATTGAAGTAAACAATTAAATAGTTAGTAATAAAATAAGAACAAATAAATAACAAACAATAGGACAAATAAATACAATAAAACAAAGAGATGAATGCGTAAAAAGGTGCTTTAATTTTTTAGTAGGTTAGTCTAACAATAGGGTAGAAATTGAATAAAAACATTTTATTTTTGTTCTCTTTTATGATTTTTTTGCCCAAAACTGTTTGCGTTCATTTAAGACGCAAGTGACTGTGTTCTCATAAATACTTGGCAAGACAGGAGTTTTGAATTTTGGTTAATTTCATGGAAACCATTCAATGGGGGGTTATTTTGACCCCAACACCATTGTAGACACACGATTTGTACAGCCTTTACAAAACACATCTATCTGTAGAAACTTTGCATGCGCATTCATGACCCTAAATGAGAAAAAGTCACAAAATTTCAAGAATAAAAATTTCAACTAGTGTTTCATGCAATTTAAATATGGGTCAAATTGACCCAAACACACACACACACACACACACAAAGTTAAATACTTAAATAAGACCAGAAATGGATTTTGTTTCCAAGCTGCTTTTTGCACAAAACTGTTTGCGTTCATTTAAGACGCAAGTGACTGTGTTCTCATAAATACTTGGCAAGACAGGAGTTTTGAATTTTGGTTAATTTCATGGAAACCATTCAATGGGGGGTTATTTTGACCCCAACACCATTGTAGACACACGATTTGTACAGCCTTTACAAAACACATCTATCTGTAGAAACTTTGCATGCGCATTCATGACCCTAAATGAGAAAAAGTCACAAAATTTCAAGAATAAAAATTTCAACTAGTGTTTCATGCAATTTAAATATGGGTCAAATTGACCCAAACACACACACACACACAAACTTAAATACTTAAATAAGACCAGAAATGGATTTTGTTTCCAAGCTGCTTATTTTCATTTCTAGGTATCTGTAATGCTCAAAATGCTGTCTAGGTAGGCAGCTCACCCTGTATGTATTGTGCTGGTGTCAAGTGAAGATTTAAAGTCTTTTGTTTTATTTGAATATTTAAATAGGTGGTACTTAAAATGAGTTGTTTATGATATGTACTTGAGGGATTTAGCTTGAGTGAGTCTCTTTCTCCATTAGACAGCTCATGCATTGCATACTTGTGTCTTTACATCAACTTTACTCACCAGGAAACTGAAACCAAATGTGTGCTGATTTATACATGCACTGCTGAGTCACGTCACAAACAATATGGAACGATTCCACTGTCAGATGCTTATCTGTTCTCTTTTAAGGTCACATCTGTGTTGTTAAACCTGTGTATTGACATTTGTACTTGAGTATATTTTTGTATCGTTTTTAATTATTGTTATTTCCGATATTTGAAGGCATTGGCAATGACCAGATAATTGCCTTGGGATCTGCACTTCTCAATAAGTGAGTATCATCTTATGTTTTCTTCCCATGTTCTCTGGGTTTGTTTTTGATCATTACCTCTGTCAACTTGTCCCATCTCTCGCAGCTTCATCTATGAACGAGTTCGTCGTCATGGGGACAGCGAAGCTGAAGTAACCCGAAGTCAGCTGGATGGTGTTGAGTTGTGCGACCCCAACCATAAACGTCTTGGGCAGTGTTTACAACAGATTGGAGATGAGCTGGATGGAAATGTGCATCTGCAAAGGTAATGGATTGTGGATAACATCGCAACTGTCTCGATGTACCAAGTCACCTGCTGTGCTCGGAAATGCCCACAGGATGGCAATGTGCTGCAACTCATCCATACCTCTCCATTTTCATTTTGGTTTAGAATGGTAAATGACCCTGCTCTTCAACCAACTCAAGAAGTCTTCATGAAAGTGGCCCGAGAGATCTTCTCTGATAGGAAGTTCAACTGGGGCAGAGTGGTGGCGCTTTTCTACTTTGCGTGTCGGCTTGTCATCAAGGTGAAGACCTGCACGAGCTCAATCTCAAATGGAAATGCATTGTTTTGATGTTTTAAATATTTGTCTTATTTCTTATTCATGCACTCCTAGGCTATTACAACCAGGATTCCTGACATCGTCAGAACCATCATAAGCTGGACTATGTCCTACATTCAGGAACACGTTATTAACTGGATCAGGGAACAGGGCGGATGGGTAAGTCTTGACAGTGACTTTCTTATGCAAGCACTTCCTTAAAATCATGTGAAACGTCGGGTGTCGATGTGATATTTTAACACCGGCCACAATGACCGTTACCAAATCTACTGATGCTACAATAAACAAGATGCACAAAACAGCACGAACATTTAACTTTCGTAATGTGAAGCAAAATATCCAGGCAGTACTGTAGACATACACTACCATTCAAAAGTTTGTAGTCATTTATTTTTTCAGAAATTGATACTTTTATTCTGCAAGGACGCAATAAATTTATCAAAAGTGACGAAAGAAAAGTCAAGTCAAGTTTATGTGTACAGCGCGTTTCACGATACAAATCATTGCAAAGCAACTTTACAGCAAATTAAGTTTCTACAATATTTAGTGGTAGTTTATCAGTGGTGACTGTCAGTTAATGTACATATGGCAGAAATGTACGGGAAAATCAGTTAAAGACATAATCAAACAGACGATGAACACTATTAACAGCAATTATTATATGATGCAATCAAACTTCTAGCAAAATGTGGTAGTTCTGTATGTTGTTTCAGGGTTGGCATCATCTGAGGTCCTCTGAGGGGTTGGCATCATCTCTTCTCAGGTGTTCTGGATCCAGACTGAAGCTTGTGTAAATCCTAGTTACCACGGGATGTACACTAAAACTTAAATAAAAAATAAAGCTAAATAGAAATATTTTTAAAAACAAAAACGAATAAGAATGACAAGCACATAAAATTACTAAAACCTGAACTAAACTTAAAATGAAGCTAAATATAAAAATTATTTATAGTAATAAATAGCATAATGCTATCAATAATACTAAAATTGCACTGATGTAATGTGTCTGTTTTGTAGTTTTACTTCCAAAATGTTTGATTGGCATTCAAATCATTAAGGCAATAAGATCTTCCATGTAATGTTATCATAAAAAAAAAACATTTATTGAAGGATTCTTTAAAACACAGTTAAAACATTCTTAGAAAGGAGATCAATGATTCTTTACTTTGATGTGCATCTTTATGTCCCACAGGTAAACCATACTGACATTGAAAACTAATTCATAAGTGCTCAGGGTTTAAGGCAAATACTTGATCGGCTAAAGGCTTTAAAATCTTGCCATTAATCATGAAATTACTCCATGAAGGCCCACAATGATCTTCACAACACAGCACAACAAAAGATCTGCACAGTCAGTTAAAACAACTTGAAAATACTAAGAATGTAAACCAATACTATGGCAATGGCTCAAAAGTTTGACAGGTGAAAAGCACAGATGAGATTCACGATTACAAATTCAATGCAAAAGTACTTTGATTGGAACAGAGTGCTTAACAGAAACTGATTGGGGATGGAGAGATCAGTCTTTAGTCTCCAGCACCCCCTCTCTGATCCTCCAGCTCCATGGTAGTTTGCAGTTGGGGCCAGGCGTGCAGCAGGGGCTGTGTCCGTACTGATGATAGTGGCTGGAGTCGGGGGCCGGGACACAACGCAAAAACAGGCTGTTCTCTAGGACCTCTTTGTCATGGGGCACCAAGCAACCATCCTCTGTTTGCAGGCTGAACACGTTCTCCGAGATCTACCCGAGAGAGAAGATATTATCCTCTAGCAAGCACAAAGAGTAATGCAAATAAAACAATGTGCTCTGCATAACCACACTATACATACACACACACTGTTTACCTGATCGCTGATTCCTCTAGCAACGTGGCATACTTTCACCCCGGGCACCTCCCGAATATGAAAGCATTTCCCGTCAAAGTCCCTGATATAAACATCCACCCCTGAAGAAACAAAGAACAGATGTGAGCATGGCACAAATAACCCTAATAAATCGTCATCTACAAATATCTCATACCAATGGTATGTGTGAATGGAAGTTCTTGTAGCTTAACTGTGTTTTGTGGCAATATGTGACAGATGTAATAAAATATGTACACATCCCATAGACTTGCTGTTGTTAATAATATTAGCTTCAGGTGTGTTTGATTAGGGTTGGAGCTGAACTTTGCAGGACAGTCGATCGCCAGGAGCAGGGTTGGGCACCACTGCTCTAAAGTAATCAGTTGTTGTTCACACACCATCAAAGCAGCGGGGCAGAGGTTGATGCGTGGGGGCGAGCCAGTCCCTGCTGAAGCTCTGGCCATCTTGTTGGCTATTGTAAGAAAACACGCCTGAGCTAAGATCATCGCCAGGGCCGAATGACCAACGTCCTGAATCCTGGAGGAGAAAAAAAAAAAAACCTTGAATTTCAAATAAGTTGTAACTGGTTAAACTGAGATGCTTTACTAGCAAACAACAGGTGATGGTTGTCAAGAAGTTAACCACCACTCTTAATGTCCTTACAATGTATTTACTAGACATGTATCAGGTTAGGGGGAATTACAGGCTGCCTCATATTCAGCATTCTGAATTTGTTTACCTTCTTGTCAAAGTTTTCTCTAGTGGAAGGGCAGTCGCTACAGAGACAAGAGAGCAGCTGCTCCTGTAGCTCAGCAGAATGAGGCAGGGAAAGACTGCTCAGGTAGAAATCTGCAGAGAGAGTGAGACATGTGTTACATGCTACAGTTCAGATGGCTGTAATCACAAGATTGGATATTGACCAGCAGCTGAGATTCCATCCTAATATTTTTGATGCAAATTTTGGGATATGGGATAGAAAACAAAAATACTAAACGAAGACACCAAAATGCAAATAATATATATAAAACATATATGCTCGCTTGAGGTGGATACAATTTTATGTGCATAAATTACTATATGAACACATTTAACAAATAAAATCCTACAATGTCTCAAATAATTCACATCTAAAATAGTGTTTATTCTACATTATCGTTCAGAAGTTTGGGGTTGGTAAGATTTATTTTCATCGAAATCTCTTATGCTCATCGAGGCTGTATTTATTTGATCAAAAATACAATTCAGATTCTGAAATTTTATTACAATTTAAAACGGTTTTCTATTTGAATATAGTTTAAAATAGAATTTAATCCTGTGATGAAAAGCTGAATTTTCAGCATCATTACTCCAGTCTTCAGTGTCACATGATCCTTCAGAAATCATTCTGATATGAGCAAGAAACATTTCTCATTATTATCTATGTTATAAATAGTTGTGCTGCTTAATAATTTCGTGGAAAGTGATACGTTTTTGCATGATTTTTTCAGGGTGTTATTTTGTAACATTATAATTGTCTTTACTGTCACTTTTGATCAACTAAACGGTTCTTTGCAGAATAAAAGTTTTTTTTTTTTTTATCTTACCCAAACTTTTGTACAATAGTGTGTTTAATAAAAGAAGTGAAGTGGCTTCAAATTCCATTTCTATTATTTTGTACCAATTTTCCCAGAAGTGACAATGGAAACAATCTGCAAACTGTTTCTACGATTTTCGACATAAATTAAATTCACAACTGGGATGGAAATACAGCTACTATGAATCTGAAGAACAGCGTAAAGCTAGCCGCTATGAATATGACTTGATCAGATGGTGGCTCACCTTTCTCCAGTCTCCTCAGCTCTTGTTCCGGCTCCGGCTCGGTCTTGATGATCCGTGGCTCAGGTGAAGTGTTTTGAATGTGGAGCAGTGACTTCGGAGGACAGTGGTCATCGTTTCTTGTCTCCTCTGTCTGTTTCCACTGTTTTACCTTTTCTGGCTTCTCATTACCCACTTTCCTCTTGTGCTCCGAGCTCATCCACTGCAGCTCAGAGTTATCAGAGGACGTGGTTTGGTGGGATGTGGTGGGTGTGGCTGAATAGGCAGGGTCTGGATTCTCTGGCTTCCCTAGTGGCTTCTGATAGGGTCCTCCTCTCGCGCGGCTGCGAAGTCCCCCGACTGCAAATAAATTGATTTGTTTTTTAAATCGAATGAAATTGAATATACAGGCATTTGTATATGTTTCATGATTATTTATCGTTACCTCCTTTAAGTGCTTTAGCAGTTTTAACAAAAAGTTCTTTGGCAGAAGCTCGTTTGATTGGATCTTTCTGCAGTCCTGCTTTTATGACATCTGCTGTATAGGAGCTGCAGTCACATGGAATTTCCCTCAGTGGCGGAGGCTCTTCTGCTATCTGTCACCATACAAACACAAACAATAATTCTTAAGTGTTTGGTCAATGCAAATCTTGTAGGTGTCACAAAACATTCAATAAAATAAAATGTGACTTTAAAAGTGGGAAGGGCTTATTTAAACAGTTCCCAATCGTAGCTTACCTTGAGGAAGAGTGGGCGGGAATAGTAGCGGGTCCACGGATGACAGCCGTTGAGCATGTGCAGAAGCATACAGCAGCTGCTCCAGATGTCTGCTTTTGAAGTGCGCGGCTCATTGAGCAACACCTCAGGTGCCATATGAGTTTCTGTGCCTTTCAGACCTAAACGCATACAAAATTAGTTGGTCAACTTATGTATGTGTCTAGGTTCACTTGAAATATGTGTTTGAGGCTCTAATGAAATGTACTTACTCTTACAATAACTAAGCCCTTGTTTGTCCAATCTCTCGGAGTATCCAAAGTCGCACAGGAATGCATCTTTCCCATCTTCTGACAGCAAAATGTTATCCGCTACAAACATGAAAACACAAAGTGAGCTTTTAAAATGTAACTGTTGTACAAATGATACAAAATTGTTGTACTAATGTACAAAATGATCAAATAAATGCATAATTGTTATGCATAAGAAACTTCTTTTTTAAAAAGATAAAAACTCTTATCAACCCCAAGCTTTTGAACAGTAGTACCTTTGAGTGAAACAAGGTATTCAAATACCACCCCCCCCCCCTAAGACTAGCGATGTGTATTTACAAAATAAACATGTCTGTCAGTGGGCACATCTCTTCCCATAAGTCTCTGCTCTAGAAGTGGGGATTGGCCGTTTCCAGGAAAAGTTAAAATTGGAGTGTGTGAGACTTTCAGTTTCTACATTGCAAACCACAACTTGTCAACTGAACAAAAAAAAAAAAAAACTAGATTAAATTACTGATTATCAGACTATTTGGACAGCAGATGGCGCTGTAGATGTCAACGTAGAAAGGTTTGTTTTACCGCTTGCTTGAATTGAACTGCCCTTTATTAATCTGAATGGCTTATAAAGACATAAAGCTGCTCATTTAATCTCGTGTCCATCTGCATAATGTATGGTCAGTTCTTCAGGCCCTGTCTAGTGGCTTTCTCTTGATCTCCCTGTCTCTTCTCCCTCCC